CACACACACACACACACACACACACACACACACACACACACACACACGGCTTCTGCTGGTCTGATAGCCTATAAACTGACTTCTTTTATCCGGGGGTGTTACTTGTGTTGTGAATTCAATCCCCTAAGCAGGTGTAGCCAGTCTTGAGCATTGCCACATTGAAAACAGGGAAAGGCTCGCTCTGGGGAAGTCAGCAAGCTAGATGGGGGATGCAGGCCCAGATGGATCCCTTTCCCCCAGCACTCTTCAACCTGCCCTCTTCTAATGTGTGTTCTCTGCCTCCTTGTGATAATCTCTGCCACCAGTTATGGGGTCCAAGAAGTAAACAAGGTGAAACGCTTTGTTGGCCCGGGGCTGGACGACGTGGTGGGCATCAGTGTGATGATAACCGGAGGCCCGTGGCCAGGCAGGTAATGACCCTCATTCAGGGCTGGGTAAGCAGTAAATAGGCCAATCTACCAAACACAACAATAAATGTTTTTCAAGCATTTACTGTGTACTGGGTTCTAGGGAGGTAGAAAGCTTAGATAAGTCAGGATCCCTGGTGTCAATAAGATTACAGTTTCATGAGAGGAAAAAGACACCAAGCCTGGTAGCTAGATTCCACAATATTCCACAATAAATTTGCTGGCAGGTACAAAACAAAGTACTATTGGACATCTGAAAAGGAGAGTAATGACCAGCTGGGTAAAGCTTAGGCAAAGCTTCCTGGAGAAGGTGGCATTTGGATAGTGCTTGAAAGGATAGGATGGAGTGTATTCAGTAGGATGAGAGAGAGCACAGGTTATATTGGGGAGGAGAGGATAGTCAAGGCTGACTTTGAGGAGGGGAGTGAGATAAGAAAAAAGTAAGGTGGCACTTGATTGTGGAGGGGCTTGAATGCCGGGCAAAGGACCCAGGGTCACATAGCCTCCCCTGAGGGAGGGTCCAGCAGGCTGGGAAGAGCAACAAGGAGGAGATGACTCAAGCACATTGGGGGTGGGCGTTTTCTACTGAAGCTTAAGTATTTCTCCTTCATAGAAGCAAAGATCCCTCAAATTGTCAGATCTAGAAGGAACCTCATAGAAACTTGCAAATGGGGAAGTTAAGGCCCAGGGAGGGGCAGTACAGGGTCACACACCTTCATTGGAGAAGCCAGAACTAGAACCCAAATGTCTTTCCTCTCAGTCCAGTGTCCCACCCCCAAGAGGGACTACATGGGCCCTCTTGTTTGCTGCCCCTCAAAATGAGGGCAAAAGGCCAAGAGAGTTATTTGGGACCTGGCAAATGAAAAGTGCATGGGGCCATTTCACCCACCTCTTCTGCTTCCCCCACCTTGCAGGCTCTTCAAGATGTGCCACAACTACCTGGGAGAGCTTGGTGAAGATCAGCTGTATAGCGAATACAGGCAAGGGGGCCGAGAGGCCCTGGAGAGGCTGTTGTGCAGAGACACCTGTCCAGAAGAGGAGATGCCTGGCCAGGAGGAGTTCCTCCGGAAGGAACTTTAGCCTTTCCTCGCTCAGGAGAGAGGTCTTTGTGGACCGAGGATGTGGGTCCAGCTGACCTCTGTGAATAACAGGACTTTCTCTCCCTTCAGTTTGCAAAATCCACAGAAGCCTCATTTCTGGGAGCCACCTCCATCCTTGGCTCTGCTTGGATGAAGGCCCTTCCTCAGCCCTCCAAGGGGAGGGGTCAGGGAGCAATCTCTCCTGGGGCCCCTGGTGGATGATCAGGGAAGCCAGAGTCATATCTTAGACTTCTTTCCCCATCTGTGAATTACAGATCATATATCTCCCTTTTGTCCTCCCTCCCTCCCCTTCCTCCTTCTACATCCCCTGACTCTTCCTCTTTTTCCTTCTCTTTTTCCCCTTTATGGTCTCCTGGCTCCAGTCTCTGATGGGGGAGGGGCAGGCAGGGGAGGATGTTTTGGGGTCTTGGAGCCGTCCTGTCCTATTATCATCTGGTCCACCAGACTTGAATAAAATAAAATATCCTGTCTCCATTTTCTTCCATTTTCTTCCATGATCCTCCAAGAATAGTAAAAGCACTCAGGAAGACTTAAGCTTTTGTCTATATTTCCCTATCGATGTTGAGATTTAGCATACCCTGCCACCTTGCTTTTGAGAAGTGGGCAGGAGATAAGGATAGATTTCTCAGAATCTCCAACCAGCCATCTTTCAAAACCTATGCCAACCTGACCTTTCCCTAGAGAATGCACTGGGATGGGTTGGAAAGAGTAGATGCCTGGGCACAAGAGTTGGGATGTGCCAGGGGAGGGCCTGTGCTAAATGCCATGTTTTCTCAGCATCTCAGTGTTTCCTTTTAACTCTAAATGCTCCTTTTGGCTTCTCAGGTAGAGGATTGGGGTTCCCTTCCCCCAGAGAAAAGAAATTAAGGCTACCAAGTCTCCATGGCTCTGATTCCCAGGCTCTTTCCCTAAGCCAAAGAGAGGAGCCGATCTTTTTGTGGATTTTGTCATGGAGCCATTGTTAGTGGGATCAGAATTAAAAGTGTGATTGGTTAGAAGAAAGCTTCCCTGGAGAAGATGGGCCTTGAAAAGCAGGTGGGATTCCAAACAGGCAATGTGGTGAGGGGAGGGAACCTTAGCTGGGGAAGATAACATTGGTGGTGTCCTGGGAAAGTCTGGGGCTGAAAGAAGGGCAGAGATCTGGGACAGATTTATTCTGAATCAACCTTGGTATTCCATGGTCTGGAAACATTTCCCCACCCATCACTGAGATCTGTCAGACAACATAACCGGCAGAACTTCTCCTTAGACTCTCCCCACCCCAAGCCTCCATTACCTAAGGGGACAGGATACCTCTTAGGGATGGGGCAGTGTCAGGCTGGTTGTCACCCACACCATCCTACCTCTGAACAGCCCAAGGGGAATACTTAAGACTGAGACAGGCAGGTAGAGGTAACACCAAAACTGTGTTCCCACGATGAGCCAGCTAACCTGTGCCCAGGGGGCACAACCGCTGCTATTACCCTTGAGGACAGGATGCTTAGGACAGTTGTCATGCAACAACCTACCGCTCTATCGACATCTTTTTTCAGGGGAATTGCTCCTAAGCCAGGGGCCTAGGGAAGTGGAGGGCAGGATTGTAAAGGTCATCTAACCATTAGGAACTTAGTATGCATAGGGATTGCAGACATTCATCAGATCATAGGGTTTAGAGCAGGAAGAAAATATTAGAGATCATTTAGTCCATTTTACAGTTGAGGAAACTGAGGCCTACAGAGGTTAAATGACTTGCCCAAGGTCACCGAGGTAAGAAGTAGAGTTGATATTTGAGTGCATATGCCCTCTAACTTTGTGAATGGCTGGGGGTAGTGTAGATAGAACCTTTCAAGATGCACTATCTGAGCTGAGCCTCCTCCTAGGGGCAGAGGCCAGAACTACGATCAAGCTGACTCCGCCACCCTAGCTACTATCCGTCCCAGCCATAGAGATGAATCAATCAGGGGCTTTCCTGGTGCCTGTTTAAATTCCTCCTGGCTGGCACAACTGTACATTGTACATGCACGTGCACACACACACACATACACACACACACACACACACACACACACCTGTTCCAGGGCCTGTCCTGCGTCCTTCCTTTCCTGGCTGACACTCCAAAAGAGAATACTACCCCGCTCCTTCTCTCACCCCCCACCATCCCAATCAAGAGTCAGCAATCAAAACACAGAAAAAGCTGAGAAGCAATCTTGGGGTCAATAAACTGTTAAAAATTACAATGCAGGCATTTGTATACCTGAGGCTGTGATTGTATAGGGTGTGTGTGTGTGTGTGTGTGTGTGTGTGTGTGTGTGTGATCTGGTCTATGAGGAGGCAGGGTTTTCCTATTTCCATAACCACCTGCAGAGCAGTGGAGGCCAGTGGAGGCTGGGGCACGGTTGGGGGGGGGGTGGAGGAGGAAGTACAGTGTGGCATATACAAACATACATCCATCTATCCATCCATACACCCTCGGAGAACTGGTCAGACTACTTGGGGCAGCTGAGGCAATCTGGTGGTGGAAGCCAGCTTGGGCAGGGGGATCAGCCAACAGATGGATAACTCAATGAAGCTGCTGCTTGACTGGGGAGCTGTCTTCCCGCTGACCTCTCTAGGGAGACCCTGGCTCGGTTGTCGGCAAAGCAGACGTAGGTCCTCCCTTCGGGCTCTGGGGCTTCAGTTGAGCAGGGGAAGGGGAGAGGAGGTTGCAGGATCGTACCTCCCTAACCTGGTGAATCAGCATGGAGGAAACACTCCTATCGCTGTTCCCGTCCTGTCCCGTTGCTTCAATGGACTGGATTGTCAAGACGAGAGCTAGAGATGTAGATCCAGGTGGCTCCATTGTCTAATCTCTCATGCCAGGAATTCCCTAAACCTTTTCCCAAAAGAGCCTCATCAATCTCCATCCATCCCCCCCTCCCAGTAGGTTCTAGGCTGGTCCCAGGCCCCGCCAGTGGATCTGCTCCCTATCTTTGGCATTTCTGCCTCCCTCTGCTTTGGCCCCTGGGCTGAGTGGGAGACAAGAAAACATCTGAGACCTTCTCCCGCCCCCCCCCCCCAGAATAAGGCATATTTGGAGTTGAAGAAGAACTGATCCTTCTTGTTCATTCAGTGACCTCTGGGTTCCCCTTGTTGAGGAAAAGCTGGAAAGGGAAAAAGGGGGAACTGAGTCCCCCTGACCTCTGTGGACAAGAAGAGTCATCATCATTACTGGTTATTTTTCTCATCTGACCTTTCAAAGAACCCTATGAAGGAGTCAGGGCAGGGCTTAGAATCTCCCCTTGCTAAAGCATGAAACAGAATCTCAAATACAGTGATGGCTTAAAGTCTTGCTGCTAGACAGGGATAGATTTCTGAATCTCCCTCCAGATCTGAATCTTCTTATGTTATAAAGAGCTTCTAATGTTCATTATAGAAGCTAAGAAAAACTGGATTCAAATCCAACCTCAGACACTTACTAGCTGTATGACCCTGGGCAAGTCACTTAACTACTCTTCAGCTCAGTTTCTTCATCTGCAAAATGGGGATAATAATAGCATTCACCTCTCAGGTTTATTGTGAGGATCAAATGAGATCATGCCTGTGAGAAACCTTTTGCAAAAACTTAAAGTGACATATAAATTCTAGCTATTACTAACCTAGAGATCATAGAATGTTAGCCCTGGAAAAGATCTTAAATACTATATATTTCAACTCCCTCATTTTACAAGTGAGGAAACTGAGGCCTAGAGAAGGGAAGTGACTGACCCAAGGTCACACAGAGCCAAAGGGTAAGTCCAAAGTTCTCCTGAAAAGTGCTCTTAATGCTAATTTCACTGGAACCTAGGCCTACTGACCTGTGATCAAGTTGTCTGTCCACCATACCACTGGCTCTCCTAAGGGTTAGAAACAAAGGAGAAACAACTATTTGGGAGGGAGGGGGCTAGGAATTCCACACCTTCCAAGCAGCCTCTCCCCAGGTTTCCCTTTTTGTGTCGCACAGTGCACCAGAACCTTATGTAGTTAAGAGACTGTTCTAAGTTCCTTCAGGGACAGGAAACAGGTTTATTTACCTTTGTTTCTCCCTCAGCGTCTTTCACACAGAAAGTATTCCATAAATGTTTGGTGGATGAAGGAATGAGCCCAGCGGTTCCCACCCTGCCCCCTCTTCCTGCCTAACGGGCCATGGAGCTTTGACCCTGGGCAGGTGGGACCAAGGGACGTGACCTTTGCCAGGGTACACCCAGCAGGGGAGTTAATACGTTACCTCCTGTAAGACTCCGCTTTCACAATCTCTGGACTTAGGGCTCTAGTTACAGATTTACTTCTGAACGATGTCTGTGATGTTTAGACTAAAGTCCTCAGAGCTATACAGGTGTTCTTCTCCTCTCCTTTTCCCCGTCCCCAGGCACCTCCCAGCCCTGCATCCAAAGGATGGGGACCCAGGAGGACCACACAGCTCTAGCCCAGGTACCAGGGGACCAGAGAGAGTCAGGATAGTGGGGCAGGGGTGAGGCGGCTGGTGCAGGAGAAGGGAAGTGATTGTTCTCTCCTCCCTGGGTAGAGATGGCAGAATCTTGGCTGACTTGGGAGGCTGGGAAGGACATCAACTTTCAGGATTGTCAAGGGGGTATGTGGGGGGGGGAGGGTGGGATGGGGTGTGTGTGTATGAGAGCTTTGGGCCTTACTGTGAGAAGTGTTTGAATTGGTGGAGTAAGTAGAATCCTCACATTTCTCACTTGTGAAGAAGCCCCAGTGTTGTTGGGGGAGTAGAAGGGTCCTTTGGGAAGGTAGACACTGGGAGGAAAGTGGGAGAAATGGGGGTCTGGGGAGAGGGCTACAGTAAATCCTAACCACCTCCTTCCCTGTCATTTTAAATCTGGGCCTACACGAAGATTCCTTAAAACTAATGGAAGAGTCTCTGAGGTCCAGCAGAGAGTTGGGGGTGGGGGAACACTGGGAGAGAGTAGTCCTGAATCCAGAGGCAGTGCTCCACCCTCACAGAAGGCCCTTTGGCTGCCTTCTCAGTGAATTCAATTGAGCTTTCCTCTCCTGCCCTGACTGGGGTGACATGGGGTGAGGACAGGGACTTGGACATGGGCCTTTTCCCTGTGGGCATGCTGGGCAGCCGTAGGCATTTGAAGATTTAGATGGCTTGTCCTTGTCTTTGCTTCCCTGAGCTTTTGAGTAAGAAATGGGATGCCTGGAGACTATGGCTATGGCCTGCTCTTTCTGTTACGGAGAACAAATCCCTAGAGTACCCAATCAAACAATCAATATTTATTTATTTATGTTCTACTGTGCCTATTAAGTTCTATTCCAGGTACTAGAGTGGAACAAGCCATGCCCTTGAGGAGCTTAAAGTCTAGCCAGGGGATACAATACACACACACACACACACACAGATACAGAGAGAAAAAGAGAGACAGTGACAGAGAAACAAAGAGAGACAGAGAAAGAGATAGGGAGACAGAGGGACAGAGAAAGAGAGAGAGAGAGAGACAGAGACAAGGAGAAAGAAAGGCAGAGAAAGAGAGACAGAAGACACAGACAGACAGAGAAAGAGATAGGTAAACAGAGAGAGACAGAGACAGGAAGACAGAGAGACAGAAAGATGTAGAGAGAGACAGAGAGAGATAGAGAGAGAAAGAGAGAGACAGAGAGAGAGAAACAGAGAGCGAAAGAGACAGGGAGACAGAGAGAGACAGAGAAAGAGAAACAGGGACAGAGAGACAGAGAGAAAAAGAGAGAGAAAAGAGAGACAGAAAGAGAAAAAGAGACAGAGACAGAGAAACATAGACACTGAGAAAGAGACAGGGAAACAGAGAGAGACAAAGAGACAAAAAGACACAAAGAGACAGAGACAGAGGAAGAAAGAGACAGAGAAACATAAAGACACTGAGAAAGAGACAGGGAGACAGAGACAGAGAAAGAGAGAAACAGAGAGAAACAGAGAGAGTCAGAGAGACAAAAAGACAAAGACAGAGATAAAGAGAGAAACAGGGAGACAGAAAGAGATAGAGAGACAAAGAGAGACAAAGAAAGAGAGAGAAAGACAAAGGGAAAAACAGAGAGACAGGGAGACAGAAAGTGACAGAGACAGAGAAAGAGACAGGGAGATAAAGACAGAGAGAGACAGACAAAGAGAGACAGAGAGAAACAGAGAGAAAAAGAGAGAGAAACAGAGATAGAGACAGAAACAGACAGAGAGACAGGGAAACAGAGAGAGACAGAAAGAGAGACAAAAAGACACAGAGAGAGAAACAGAGACAGAGAAAGATAGGGAGACAAAGAGAGACAGAGAAAGAGAGACAGGAAGACAGAGAGAGACAGAAAGATAGAGGGAGGGAGAGACAGAGAAACAGAGAGAAAGAGACAGGGAGATACACAGAGAAACAGATTCATCTTTCTCCTCAAACCTACCCCTCTTTAAAAATCTCCCTTTTTGTGTTGAAGACTCCACTGTCCTCTCAGTCTCCCAGCTTCCCCCTTAACCGTATCTTCAGCTCCCCATCCTCACTCGCCCCATGGAGCCAATCAGCTGCCGAGTTTTGTGTTCTGTCTCTGTGACATCTTTCCCCTCTGCTTCCTTCTCTCCACGCACACAGCTAGCAGCCCAGGTCAGTCTTTGATGCTGGACATGCTGAATTTGAAATGTCCAGCCAGCAGTCGGTGAAAAGGAGCTCAAGGGAAAGACACCCAGTCATCCTTATTTCTACTCTGCACTTCCTGGATTTCTGGGGCAAATGTGGACACAAGGAGAGAATCCAAAGACCTTACTCCTCACCTGTGATCATTATAGTAGTATTCTAAACTTCCTAAAGTGTTTCTGCATCCCTTTTAATGAGTACAAGACCATTTTGAGATATAGGGCATGGACTGTTCTTTCATTTTACAGATGGAGAAACTGAGTCCCATTTAGGTGATGTCTCTTGTTCAAGGTCACATGAGTTAGCTGGAGATGGGTTCAGTACTCAGGAATGAGAGACAGTATGGTGCTGTGCTGAATCAGGAACACATGTATTCGAATCGTGCCTTACTTAGACAATTACTAATTGTATGACTATAGGAAAATCATTTGATTTCTCTGGGCTTCAATTTCCTCACTGGCAAAATGAAAAGGTTGGACTTGATGACCTCAAAGGCCCTTTCGACTCTAAATCTCTGACCCTATGTGAGCGTTCTTTCCTGTTCTTCAGCTTTTTTCACAACTCCTTTATGTCTCTCTCACTAGCTCCTAGGGCCGTGGTGGCCTTGCCTTTCTCCTCCCCTCCTCTGCCTCTCCCCAACAACAAATCAGCGCACAGTTTGGGCAGCAGAAATTTCCTCTTTAGTGGAATGGCGATATGTTACCCCTCACCCTACCCCCACCCTCAAAGAACCTATCAGGGCTATCCCCACACCCACAGAGAAGATCTGGAGGAGGGAGCAAGACGAGAGACCTGGGAATCTGCTTCCAAATTTGGATCCCTAGCGGAGGCCTGGAAGATGGCCTGTGGCTCTATTTACTCCACGTAGTCCCTTGGGGAGTGGGGGGCTCTGGGTATAGTGAGGAGCCAAGCAGTCCTCACGGAACAGGACAATCTGATGGATCAGTAAAGAACTGATAAGAGGCTGATCCCAGGTCGCCCAGTGCCAAGATTACTGACGACATTCCGGGAATGAGGAGAGGAGATGGCCCACAGAAAGAGGGATCAGGGTGTGGTGGTGAAGGGCAGGTTGGGAAGCTGGCAGAGCACAGGTTCATGGATAGGAGAGACCATTGGGCCTTGGGAGGGAGGAGGGATAGATTTTGCCTGGCTCATCCTACCTCCCCAATCCAACCCCACCCAGGCCTAGGGGAAATCTCAGCGCTCACCCCCCTTTCCCAACAGGAGACTGAGGGCTCCACCCTCTCCAGGGCACCCCCAGAGAACCCCAAGGCAGACATGCTCTACAAGATCGAGGATGTGCCTCCCTGGTACCTCTGCATTCTCCTGGGATTCCAGGTAACCCCTCTAGCCTTTCATTCCCACTCCTACGGCCCCACACCGGGGAAGAAAAGAGATCCCTCCATGGCCTCCAGCTCCCATCTCTCTGGCACATCCCTGGTAGTTATCCCAATTCCAATCCTCTCCCCAAAGATATGAAATAATTTGAAGGACATTTGTGAAGCACCTACTGTGTGTAAGAGCTACCTTCCCTCTAAAGATCATGGGATCATGGTTTTAGGCTAAGAAGAGATCTCAGGAAGTAGAAAATTAAAGATGGGGCTGTTAGTTCCCAAGGGAGGGTTACAGGGGCAGAGAGAATATTAATACCCTGCAGGAATGATTACTACTCCACAACATTAATACTTTGTAAGCAAGTGCATTAATACCTTGTGGGGAGTACAAATGCAGGGTGAGCAGGTGGGGTCCTTGTAATCTCAGCCCATATCTACTAACAGCAATGGTAGATAAAGAGACTGAGACTAGTTTCTCTTGGTATGGGCATTTTGGTTCAGTAACTATTCTGCTCTCTGCCACTCTAGGTGAAGATTATCTCCTAAAAATCCTCCATTGTACTTGGTTTCTTCATCTGTACTACGGGCAGAATGGTATCTGGACCCTCCCCAGTTGGCAGAAACAATGGAATAAGGTGGTGGGTCATAGGATTTAGAGCTAGAAGGACCCTTAGAGATCATTTAGTTCAATTCTCTCATTTTACAGATGAGGAAACTGAGACCCACTGAGGTTAAATGACTTGCCCAAGGTCACACAGGGAGTAAATAGCAGAGTTGGGATTCAGACCTGAGGTGCTCTGATTCCACATACAGTGCTTTTGCCCCTACACCATGGCTTTCCTGAGGCTTGCTCTGAGAAGGTTGGGTAGTGGAATGGATGGTCTTTGGTCATGGTCTTTCTCCTCTCCCTCCAGCACTACCTGACCTGTTTCAGTGGCACCATTGCTATACCCTTTCTCCTTGCGGATGCTCTATGTGTAGGCAAGGATCAGTACGTGGTCAGCCAACTCATCGGCACCATCTTCACCTGTGTGGGCATCACCACCCTCATCCAGACCACTCTGGGCATCCGGTGAGAACCTCCCCCAGCCTCCAGCCTCCAGCCTAGTCCTCACACAGACCAGAGTCAAAATGCTTACTCCAAGGCTGGGCCCAAGTAGGACAACAGATGCCAATCATAGGGAGGAGAGGGTATGGGGCAAAGATCAATGATCAATCAACAAGCATTTATTAAGTGTCTACTGTATGCCAGGCAGTGTGGTAAGCACTGGGAATTGAAGTACAAAAAAATGAAATAATTCCAACTCACAAGGAGTCTACTTTCCAACTGAAAGTTCTAACAACGGTCCTTTTGTTCTGAGAGAACTATTGGCCTCCCTTTGGACACCCATCAAGCTACCCTTCTGATTGACAAATGCTTCCCATTATGTATATTTGTCTGTCCTTAGTCCCTCCTCATGCTGAGAGCCTAAAGACCAAGAAGGTCCCACATTGACATATACTCAATCTCTCTCCTCTGCTCTATTTGTCTCTCCACTTCTGACTGTCTTTATATCCCTCTTTTACCTGAGTGTTTCTCTCTCTTCCTCTCTGTCTCTCTCTGTGTCTCTGTCTCTGTATGTCTCTGTGTCTCTGTTTCTGTCTCTGTCTCTCTCTCCCTCTGTCTCTGTCTCTGTGTGTGTGTCTCTCTCTGTGTCTCTGTCCCTGTCTCTCTCTCTTTTTCTCTCTCCTCTCCACTTTCCCTTCCTCTCTTTCTCTGCCTGTGTCTGTGTCTCTCTCTACCTTTGTCCCCGGTCTCTTTCTGTCTCTTTCTCCCACACAGGCTACCCCTGTTTCAAGCAAGTGCCTTTGCCTTCTTGGTCCCAGCTGAAGCTATCCTGTCCCTGGACAAATGGAGATGTCCCCAAGAAGGTGGGGACCATCAGGAGTGAGAGGGGCTGAGGAGGGTGAGGGAAAGGGGAGGGCCAAGGACAACTACCTTCAAGCACCTACTATATCAGAGGGGACTCAAGTCAAGCCTTGGTCAGAACTTCCTTTCCCTCTGTTTCCCTTTCTCTGTTTCTGTTCCTCAGAGGAGATCTATGGTAACTGGAGTTTACCCCTGAACACATCACATATTTGGCACCCACGAATAAGAGAGGTGAGTGCTGTTGGGTGAGGGGTGAAGGGGTATGTGTCCCACTGAAGCCACAAAGGGAAATTGATCGGAACAATGAAAATGAAGCCCAGGTTCAGGGAAATTTCTTATGAATTAGGGAAAGTGGGGAAAGCAGAGGCTGGGGGAACAGTTTATATCTCAACAAAGTTTGGCCAGGGAAAACAAGGAGGGGCATGGGAAACCTTCCAACTCCAGCCCTCGAGTTGGCCCAACAGCTCTCTGCCGCACCTAACCCTACCCACAGATCCAGGGGGCAATCATGGTGTCCAGCACAGTAGAGGTGATGATTGGGCTTTTGGGGCTGCCAGGAGCCCTGCTCAGCTACATCGGGCCCCTCACAGTCACCCCCACTGTCTCCCTCATCGGCCTCTCTGTCTTCCAAGCTGCTGGAGATCGAGCTGGATCTCACTGGGGCATCTCAGCGTTGTGAGTGTCCTGGCCCTCAATGCCCTCTTTTCTCTTTAATGTCCCCCTTCCCAATATATATTTCTCCTCCCTACATCCCCTGTGCCCCAGTCCCTTCCTCCTGTCCCTCCCACCCAGACTTTACCACCCTCTCTCCTCAGAGTAGACTCAGAGACTCAGAATGTTCAAGCTGGGAAGAGCCTTAGATGTTTTGTAGCCCCACCCTATCACTTTACAGTGGTCTTACAGAAAAATAGGAGAAGTAATTTGACTAAGGGCACGTGGCTAGTTACCAGAAGAGCCAGAACCAGGACCTCCATTGACTTCTACTCTGAGATTCTTTTCACTAAGCTGTCATGTACTTCCCCACTCATGACTCTACCTCAGAACTGCCCCTCTGTCCTTCCCCAGCCTCTCTCCCTCACGGGCCATTGGATCTGGAGTGAGAGGTCCTGTGTTCAAATCTCAGCTCTGCCACTTATCATTTGTGTTTCCTAGACAAGTCACCTTCTCTCTCTCTCTCCCTTTTCTCATTTGGAAAATGAGGAAGTTGGACTGATTATCTCTAAGGTCCTTTAACAGTCTATAATCCTGTGATCTATGTTGCCCCTCTGCCTCCAGCTCCATCTTCCTGATCATCCTCTTCTCCCAATATCTCCGAAATGTTACCTTCTGGCTGCCTGGCTACAAATGGGGCAAAGGCTTCACTCTCTTCCGGGTCCAGATCTTCAGAATGTTTCCTGTGAGGAGGCTAGAGTCGGGCAAGGGTTGGAATGGGGCCCGGGACTGGAAGGGGGCCTGGGGCTGGCAGACGTAAGGTCAAGGAGAATCTTTTCCTGGAGTTGGGAGTTTCCTAGGGTTGAGAGAATCCTTTCCAGGAAGTTTGGCGGCTCAGAGGGAATTCCTTCCAGGGCTGAAATGCTCAGGAGGGTGCAAGGAGAGACTCAAGTCTTTTGAGCTTAGGGGCACAGGGCTCCCCTTGCCCCTTCCTCTGATGTCTGGTCACTTCTCTTGCCCCCTCCCCCTCTCCTCCCAAAGATCGTCCTGGCCATTATGGTCGTTTGGCTGTTCTGCTATATCCTGACACTGACTAATGTGCTGCCTGATGACCCCAATGCCTACGGCTTCAAGGCTCGGACAGATGCCCGAGGGGAGATCATGTCCATTTCACCCTGGATCCGCTTCCCCTACCCCTGTGAGTAAACCCTGCAACCAAAAACCATGAGACCTGGCTTTTAGTCCTGGCTCTATCCCAGAAGCAGGGGGCCTGAAAAAAAATCAGGCTCAAGGCCTAAGAAACCAGTTGGCAGCTAAGAAAGTGATGGAATCTTCCCTCTGTTCCCATATCTGGGGAGCCAAGAGCAGAGCTGAAAAGGTTCCAAGTCCCGGGGAGAAGGGAGCAGATTGGGGCAGAGAGGAGGGCTAAGGAAGTGTTTGGAAAATACCCATTTTTCAACCAAATCCATCCTTTCTAATGCTGGGATCATCTTGGGATTACCAAGATATGTGTCCCTTGGGACAGTGGTCATTGCTGAGATCTGTTTCCTGTGTCCATCTCCCACAACTGGTCCCCCTCAGGTCAATGGGGCCTCCCCAGTGTGACTGCAGCTGCTGTTTTGGGCATGTTCAGTGCCACATTGGCGGGCATCATCGAGTCTATTGGAGATTACTATGCTTGTGCTCGACTGTCTGGGGCCCCTCCACCCCCTGTTCATGCCATCAACAGGTATAGTATCATCCTATGTGTATAACATATATTATGTGTATAAATGTATAGAATGTATAGAAGTATATAATGTGTATAGATGACCAATCTACCCTCTGTGGGGCTGATTGCAGGTTGATAGCAGAAAAGGATCTGACCTGGGAGGCAGTAGGCCTCAGTTCTTGTCCCAGTTTGTCCCCTTACTTACCAGAAACCTTCAGCAATTGACTTCGGCTTTCTGAGCCTGTTTCCTCACCTGTTAAGGGGAAAAATACCTGCCCTGACCTGCCCTTCCTCACAGTGTTGTAGAACGAATCCCATAGGTTGGCATAAAAAGCACTTTTAAAAGTACAAATACTGGAAGGATCCCTGCTTGGGACAATGTGGGATCCACTGGTATAGATCAGAAGAGCCCTCCCTGAATGGCCTTAGCAGACAATCTTTAGTTACTATTGCCAACAAAAATCCCCATCCTTGTGGCCAACCTAGTGCCCAGAGTCTCCAGACTCACCTAGGCTGGCCTTAAGACAACAGGAGGATGGGCTAACCAGACCCTCACCCAGTGCCCTTCCAGCTCAGCAGGACCCTGCCATGTCATGTGCCTCATCAGCATAGCCCAAGGTCACCTCCCTGCCAGGAGGAAACAGTGGAAGAGGACTATAGTAGAAGGAAAAGGATAAATAAAATACTGAACAAATGTAAGAAATTATTATAATATTGCCCACTCCTCTCCTGGCACCTTTTCTAGGGGGATCTTTACCGAGGGCATCTGCTGTATCATTGCTGGGCTGCTCGGGACTGGCAATGGCTCCACTTCCTCTAGCCCCAATATTGGTGTCCTGGGAATCACCAAGGTACCAAGAACCAAGATTTTCTTCTGTCTTCTTTCATTTCCCATTTTCCTTCTTTCCTTTCTCCTTAGTTTCCTGCTCCTGTCCCTGAAACCATCCTCATGCAGGCATTGCTCAGTCCTGGCTATGTCAGCTTGTGGCTGATTTCATCCAATCCTCTTGTCTGTAGGTGGGGAGTCGAAGGGTGGTCCAGTATGGGGCAGTTATCATGCTGATTCTAGGAATGATTGGCAAGTTCACGGCTCTCTTTGCTTCCCTCCCCGACCCTATCCTGGGTGGCATGTTCTGCACTCTCTTTGGTGAGTCCTAGAGTGGAGAATATTTTGTACCTGCACTCTCCTTCCTCACCAGGGCCCACCCCCCATCTTCTAGTGCTTGCTCTTCTTTAAGGTAGAAAGTAGTACCTCCTGGGGCAGCTAGGTAGCGCAGTGGATAGAACACTGGCCTTGGAGTCAGGAGGACCTGAGTTCAAATCTGATCTCAGACATTTACTAGCTGTGTGACCCTGGGCAAGTCACTTAACCCCAATTGCCCCCTCTTCTCCCCCACAAAAAAGTAGAAATTCCTAATTCAGAACATGTATATAGCATGAACGGTTAGAATATGGGAATGAGAGTGGCAAGGTCAGAGTCGAGGATAGGGAAAGGCAGGACCCTGTCTGTTGCCCTTTGAGTAATGAGAGAGAATAGATTAAGTTCCTGCCCTCTCAGTCTAATAGAGGAGACCAGGACATGATAAACATAATAATACTTCATGGGAAGGCAGAGGGGTAGGGAGAGGTATGGCCAAACAAGGCTATAATTATTGGTTTGGTTGGAGAATGGTCACAGTCAACCAGAGACTTCATAAAGAAAGTGTCTTTTATGAGTTGTGACTTAAAGTGATTGTTGGGGGGGGAATGGGGAGGGAAGAGTATAAGATAGCAGGCAGAAAGAGGGTAAGCACCCATCCCTGGAAGGAAGTTTGTCAGCTCTGAAAATCCAGGGGGTCTGGGTCACTCCTTCCTTCCAAATTTGTGTCTCTTTGGCTGAATGGTTGTTTCTTCTCAGGGATGATCACAGCAGTGGGCTTGTCCAACCTGCAGTTTATTGATATGAATTCTTCCCGAAATCTCTTTGTTCTGGGATTCTCCATGTTCTTTGGCCTGATGCTGCCTAACTACCTGGATTCCAACCCCAATGCCATCAACACAGGTGCCTTATGTCCCCTCCTACGCTTCTCCCCCATCTATCTTTGTCTGTTATCATCTATCTCTTTGTGCATCTGTCAGCTGTACCTGGAGATCAGGAAAGAGGTCAAGTCAGGGAAACAGGGCCCAACAAAGTACTGAACTCTCAGGTTGCTATGAACATCTTGAACCAGATAGTGATTCTTCTTTATTCTTTCACTCTTTGACCCTCCCAAAGCGCAAAGCTGGAGGAAGTGGGGTGCTGGGTGCCGGAGCAGAAAAAAGGTGGACTTGGGATCAGAGCACCTGGGTTCAACTCTTGACTCTGCAGTGTGCTTCCTTATGTGACTTTAGGCAAATCATTCACCTTCTCTGGGCCTTGACTTCCTCATTTGTAAATTGAAGATGATCACCACTGTCCTTTCCAGCTCTAAATACCATGATTCTATGAAACTGTTAAAGTCTACTTCTGCCTTTTCAACCTTTACTTATGGGTAGAATGGGTAGCTAGGTGTCGAAATGGATAAATTGCAGGTCCTGAAGTCAGGAACACTCATCTTCCTGAGTTCAAATCTGGCCTCAGACACTTATTTGCTGTGTGACCCTGGACAAGTCACCTAATGCCATTTACCTCAGTTTTCTCATCTGTCAAATGAGCTGGAGAAGGAAATGGCAAACCGCTTCAGTGTCTTTGCCCAGAAAACCTCAAATGGGGTCATGAAGAATCAGACACAACTGAAGAAATAGAACAACAACAAAAGAATAGGCTGGAATTGACAATTGTTGGGAGGCTAGGACTTTTTAAGAGGGAAAAAGAAAAGTTCTGGCCTGGCTGGGTTAAAGGTAGTCACAGACTTGGAGGATGGATTGGCTAAGATGACCCATTAAGAGTCCCAGCATATCAAAATGCACAGAATTTAAATTCTGTTCCCTCCTGTAGGTATTCCTGAATTAGACCAGATCTTGACTGTGCTGCTAACGACGGAGATGTTTGTGGGTGGCTGTCTGGCCTTTATCTTGGATAATACTGTCCCAGGTATGACTTTCCCACGACTCCCAAGAGATTATGGTGGAGGGGGATAAGGAGAAGGGAGGATAGAAGTCCTGGAATCTTGGAGTTGGGTTCTCTTATTTTTAGAGCATATTTCCAAGGTTACTCATGCAACACCTTCTACTATATCTTCATTTGTAAGAGAAAAGACTGAGTTAGATGATTTTTCTAAAGCCTCTTCCATCATCAACAGTATGATTCCAGAAACAGTTATTAAAAACATACTATGCGCCCAATTCCTCTGAAGGTAGCTGGAGAGACACCTTCAAGGAGAAAGAGTGATGATCCCAGCTTTTGGAGAGCTTCAAGCATGGTTAAGAAGATACAATTTACACATGAAAATGACAGGAGACCAATAGACAAAATAGAATCAAATACATAGCTGCTTTCAAAGGTTACAAAAGTATAATAATAATAGCTTACATATAGCACTTCAAAGTTTGCAAAGTGCTTTAACCACAATCCTTTGGTGTAGATGCTCTCATTTTATTTAGTTCCACTTCAGAGATGAGAAAACTGAGGTTGAAAACACAGGTTAAATGACTTGCCCAGGTCCACATAGCTAGTATGTATCTGAGGCAAGATTTAAAACTAGGTCTTCCTGACTCCACATCCAGCACTCTAGACATTGTGCCATCTGGTTTTCTCTGTAGGAGGGCATAGATCTAGAAAGGACTTTAGAGAAAATCTAGTCCAATCTTCTCCCATCCCCCAACACATTTTACAGTTGAAGAAACTGAGGCCCAGAAGGACAAAATGTGCCCAAGGTCACACAGGAACTAACAGAAGGGGATTCAAAGTCAGGTCCTGTTAATTTAAGTGCGTCAATCTTTCCCTTGTATCACACTGCCTCTCAGGGGAGGCTAGAGTGGTCAAGGACTTCCTGGAGGAGATAGCACGTGAGCTGGGCCTTGAATGATAGAACCTCACCCATACTGTTGAGAGCTGGAAAGACCTGCCAGGATCAGACAGGGGGCGGTGGAGGGAACGGAGGAATACAAACCTGGAGTCTACCCTACCGACAACTCACAAAAAAGACTCCAACTAGTATCCTAGCCTTGCAGATAATCTCAGGCCCAGGGTCTGAATGGGCCCTTTGGAAGACTCATTCCTATCTAGGGAATATAGGCTGGATACTACAGGTTCGGAGAGCGACAGATAAAATGATTTTGTTGGATTTCTCCGTAGTGCTGCTTGGTTCCTTGCTCAGACCACCGCTGCTGCAGGGCTTGCCACTGAGTGATTGTGTGATTATCATCAATGAATGGCAGGATTCACAGCAGGCTTCCTTCAATACTGCCAGATATGGAAGAATCTGGTGGGATAAACCTATTCCGCATAATTATCTGTTGCTCTGGCAGGCTTGTTGCCATGGTACCCAATCAGCCACAGAGACAGAGGAAACTAAATGGGAGGGAGGAAGGGAGGGAGAGAGACGTGGGGGCAGAGAAAGGGAGAGAGATATATGTACAAACACAGAGAGACAAAGACAGAGAGGGGGAGAGATAGAAAGAGAGAGAGAGAGAGAGAGAGAGAGAGAGAGAGAGAGAGAGAGAGAGAGAGAGAGAGAGAGAGAGAGCAACATCCCAGGGCTGGCAGTAAGCAATAGCTGAGTCCTAGCTGTAGCAGGATTTATGAGAGACTAAGGAAGATGAGAAAAAGGGACCTGGGTGAGATACCAAATCTGGACCAGAATCTTTAGTCAGCTATTCAGATTGAACGGCCAATAATTGTCATGTCAACCAGTAAAGATATGCCTCCAGATGCCCTTGCTCCTTCAAGTCAGTCGACACTTAGCTTGCATTGAAATTCTCTCACCCTGAATTCTGTGATTCCTTTTTGAATTCATATTTGCCTATCTATAGGCCAGTTGTTTCATATTGGTGCAATCAATTCAACAAATCTTGATTCAGCATGTATTGTCTTTTGGCCTTGTACTAGGTATTGTGTGTGGTAGAAAGGAGAGAAAATCACTTTTTTTCAAGGATTTTACAGCCTGGTGGGAAAGTGAGGATATAATTGAAAGAGAAGACAGAGAATGGCGGGTCCCATGGTATAGAGTGAAAGAACACTTGATCACCTAAATTTGAGTCCTCGTTCTGACACTTATGAACTATGTGACTTTATTTGGCAAGTCTCATTTCACTTCTCTTTGCCCCAATCTCCTTATCTGTAAAATAGAGGTAATAATACCTAAATTTTCTATATTTCACAAGGTTGTTGCAAGGAAAACAATCAATCAGCAAGTAATATTTATTAAATGGCTACTATAGGCCAGGCACAGTGCTGGGTGCTAGGGGTCACAAAGACAAAAGCTTACATTCTAACATGGGAGACAAGAACACATGTGGGTTAATACAAAACAGTTATAAGGTAACCTTGGGGAGGGTGGAGGAAGAAAACACTAGTACTCTGTATTGTTTAAGGTGCAATATAAACTTATTATTATTAGATAGTGCGTGTAGAAGGAACTGAGTGAAGGAGAAGACATCAGTAAGAACAGGCTGAAGTAGCCAGGGGAAATTTCATAGAGGAAGCAGGCCTCGAATGATATGTGAGATTTAGAGACAGAGAGGAACAGGGAGGGTTTTACAGGTAGGAAGGGCAGAAGTACAAGATTGGATGCAGGAATGTGGGTGATAGGATAGTTGTGGGAGATAAGGTTGCTTGGGCAAGGAGGGCACAAATTACAGAGGAATCTGAATCCTTACAAATTCACCATAGTAGAAGCAGCTCCCCCTACCTAATCTGCCATTCCTCCTCTCTTGGTATCCAAACCATTCTTCTTTCAAGATTTACCTAATCTGGGTAGCTAGGTGGTTCACTGGATAGAACAGCAGCCCTGGAGTCAGGAAGACCTGAGTTCAAATTTGACCTCAGATATTTACTAACTGTGTGATGCCGGGCAAGTCACTTAATCCAGATTGCCTCTCTCCCTGCCCCCCTCCCCCCCCCCCAAAAAAAGAATTGACTTCCGTCATGAAGTGTCTTTTACCTTCCTCTGACCTTCAATGAAACTTACTGTCTATTACTTGGCAAATTCTACTGTGTATTTTTATTCATCTTTTGAATATATAGTTATTAACATTTAGACTTCAGACTTCTTAAAAGGTAGAGATTCTGCATAATTTCTCTTTCCAGCTATTCCCCAGTACATTGTCATGAAGTAGCAGATGATGATGATAAAAAGAATGTTTCAGAATCATTAACACTGATGTTTTGCATGACTATACATGTATAATCTATATCAAAGTGCTTGCCTTCTTAAGGAGGGAGAAGGGGAGGGAGGGAGGGAATTTGAAACTCAAAAATTATTTTTAAAAATGAATGTTAAAATTGTTTTTACATATAATTGAGAAAAATAACGTTCTTGAAAAAAGAATCATTAACATTTTTTCTGTTTCTTGCTACTCAAATTAATCAGCTTAAAAAATTAGAAAGTTGCTGCATTTTAAATCTGCTGCCTTCTTGCTGAGGAAATTGCTTCTGACAGCGCTATTCTTTTTTTTAAAATATTTTTATTTTTTTCCCCAATTACATATTAAAACAATTTTTTAACATTTGGGTTTTTTTTAAGTTTTGAGTTCCAAATTCTATCCCTCCTTCCTCTCTCCCCTTCCTGAGATGGTAAGCAATCTGAAATAGGTTATACATGTGCAATCATGTAAAACATTTCCATGTTAGTCATTTCGTACAAGAAGACTCAGACAAAAAAATGAAAGATAGAAAGTGAAAAATGGCATGGTTCAGTTCTGTATTCAGATACTATCCATTCTTTCTCTGGAGGTAGATAGCATGCTTCATCATTAGTCATTTGGGATTGTCTTGGATCATTGTATTGCTGAGAATAGCTAAGTCATTCACAGTTGATCATCACACAATATTGCTATTACTGTATACAATGTTCTCCTGGTTCTGCTCACTTCACTTTGCATCAGTTCATTTAAGTCTTTCCAGGTTTTTCTGAAAGCATTCTGCTTGTCATTCCTTTTAGTACAATAACATTCCATCACAATCATATATACCACAGCTTGGTCAGCCATTCCCCAATTGATGGGCATCCCCATGACTTCCAATTCTTAGCCACAACAAAAAGAGCTGCTATCAATATTTTTGTACAAGTTCTCCCCCCGCTTTTTTAAAATCTCTTTGGGATAGAGGCCTAGCAGTGGTATTGCTGGATCAAAGGGTTTGCACAGTTTTATAGCCCTTTGGACATTACTCTCCAGAATGGTTGAATCAGTTCACAACTCCACGAACAGAAATATCCCACTTTTCCCACATCCCCTCCAATATTAATCATTTTCCTTTTTTGTCATATTAGTCAGTCTGATAGATACGAGGTGGTACCTCAGAGTTGTTTTAACTTGTATTTCTCTAATCAATAGTGATTTAGAGCATTTTTATATGATTATAGATAGCTTTGATTTCTTTGTTTGAAAACTGCCTGTTCATATCCTTTGACCATTTATCAATTGGGAAATGACTTATATTCTTATAAATTTGATTCAGTTTTCTATATAGTTGAGAAATGAGGACTTTATCAGAAATACTTGTTGCAAATTTTCCCCCTTCTCTATTTTATGCTTTCCTTTTAATTTTGGTTGCATTGGTTTTATTTGTGCAAAAACTCTTTTAATTTCATAAAACCACAATTACCTATTTTACACTTTGTAATGCTCTCTATATCTTGTTTGGTCCTAAATTCTTCACTTACCTATAGATCTGTCAGATAAACTATTCCATGTTCTCCTAATTTGCTTATGGTATCAACCTTTATGTGTAAATCATGTACCCATTTTGACCTTATCTTGATATACAGTGTGAGATGTTGGTCTACACCTAGTTTCTGCCATACTGTTTTCCCAGCAGTTTTTGCCAAATAATGAGTTTTTGTTCCAAAAGCTTGGATCTTTGGGATTATAATATACTACATTATTGTAGTCATTTCCTATAATGTATTGTGTACCTAATCTATTCCACATTTTCACCACTCCATTTCTTAGCCAGTACTAGATTGTTTTGACAATTACCACTTTACATTACAGCTTGAGATCTAGTACGGCTAGACCACCTTCCTTCACATTTTTTTTCATTGATTCCCTTGATATCCTTGACCTTTTAGTTCTTCTAGATGAATTATTTTTTTCTAGCTCTATAAAATAATTTTTGGTAGTTTGATTGGTATGGCACTAAATAGATTAATTTAGGTAGAATTGTCATTTTATAATGCTGACTCAGCCCACCCCATGAGCAATTAATATTTTTCCAGTTGTTTAGATCTGACTTTATCTGGGTGAAAAACGTTTTGTAATTGTGTTCATATAGCTCCTGGGTTTGTCTTGACAGGTAGACTCTCATGTATTTTATATTGTCTATAGTTATTTTAAATGGAATTTCTCTGTCTCTTGCTACTCAATTTTGTTGGTAACATATAAAAATGCTGATGATTTACGTAGGCTTATTTTGTATCCTGCAACTTTGCTAAAGTTGTTAATTATTTCCACTACTGCTTTAGTTGATTCTCTAGGATTCTTTAAGTATACTATCATATCACCTGCAAAGAATGATAGATTTGTTTCCTCTTTGCCTATTCTAATTCCTTTAATTTCTTTTTCTTCTCTTATAGCTATACCTAACATCTAGTATAGTGTTGGATAATAAAGGTGATAATGGGCATCCCTGCTTCACCCCTGGCAGGGCTGCTCTTAGGCAGTAGATATGTTCTGGCTAATCTAATGGGACATTGTCCTTTTACAGGGAGCCCGGAGGTAAGGGGACTGGTACAGTGGAAAGCTGGAGCTCATGCCAACACTGAGACATCTGCAAGTTTGAAGAGCTATGACTTTCCTATTGGCATGAACACAATCCAAAAGATGGCCTTCTTGAAGTACATTCCTATCTGTCCTGTCTTCAAGGGCTTTTCTCCTAAGCCACGAAAACAGTTTCCTGCTCCAGAAGACAATCCAGAAAACACAGACATTCTATCTCTGAGCACCAAGGTCTGAAAAAGTGACTTCTGGGAAAGGTAAGGATGTAGCTCCACTTGGGTGACCTCAAGATCCTAACATCCCTATTTGATGAAATACCAAAATCTCATCAAAGTGACTTACTTAGCTGTAACAGCATGAGTGAGGAAGTAGGGGATGTATAAGGGAGGATATTTTTCATTGAAAGGAAATATGTGAATATTTTTGTTTGTCTACTTTCAGGTCAGATACAATATAAGAGAAGGAAAAAACAGTCTAACATTGCCATCTTTTTGCAGAGCTAAATGTACAAATAAAAGTCCCCTTTGCCTTGAGATCATGTAGTCATAGTAAGCAGCAATGGGAGCTCATCATTCAAAATGCAATTTTAGTTACCGTTAACAAATGAATGAAAAAAGCATTGAAATGTTTACTATGTGCCAAGCACTGTGCTTGTGACTCAAACACAAAACCAAAGACAGCCCCCTCCTTAACAGAGTTTACCTTCTAATAGGGGGAGACAAAATATAGTGGAGTGGTGGCCCAGGGCCTGACACTTTGGTCTCAAAGTTATTGAGATGGTGAGTGAGACAATATGGGAGAAAACCCTCTTCCAGAACGATGGCAGAATTCATTAGATCATGTTCTAGAACTGGAAAAGAGTGAAGGGTAGAAATGTGAAGACCACTGAGGTTGAGAAGATGGATCTGGAATAGGAAGTGAAGTGAAGCATGGCTGAGAAGGCAGTCAAGACAGTAGGACCCCAGGGAGTACTGGAAACAAAAGGGTTAAAATCTCCAGGGCACATTTACATTTTTAAAAAATTGGTATCACTTCATATGTCTTTTATTTTTACATTAGTCATTTCAACAGGATTCTAGACTGAACCTAGACTGACAGAGAGGAAGGTTTCATGATCCCTTTTCCAGTATTCATTACTCACAGAGTTCGACTTGTTTTTAGTGATTGTTCATTTACTCAGTTGTGGTTATTATGTACAGTATTATCTTGGTTCTGCTTAACTTGCTCTGTAGCATTTCATACAAATCTTCCCATGTTTCTCTGAATTCTTCCTATATGTCATCCTTTATTGCCAAATACATTCTGCCCTTACATCCTTATGCCATCATTTTTTCAATCATTCTCCAACTGAGGGGAACCCACTTTGTTTCCACTGCTTTGCTACATCACAAAGACTGTTGCTATGAATATTTTGGTATATGGGCCTTTGTTTCTGCATTTTACTTTCTAGGGGTAATATGTACAGTAATGGGATTTCTGGGTCAATACGGACAATCCAATTATTTTTCTTGCACAACTACAAATTGCCATTCAAATGGGGGTTTGGACTTGACAACTCCAACAATGCATTAGTGTTCAACACTGGCTGTTATTATTTTTTGTCAT